AATGAGTTTAAGTCTCTGTTAAAAACTCATCTGTTTAAACAGGCATTTGAGTCTGAAGAGCGTGATCACTAGACCAGCCTTTGCTGTTTTGTTTGATTTTATTGTTCATTTTATTACTGTACTTTGTTCATTGTTTTTATTTTATGCTCCTGTACAGCACTTTGGTTTTTATTGTGCTTTATAAATAAACGATGATGATGATGATGATGATGATGAAGATTAGATCCAAAATGTCTCCAGTCCTACAATATTCAGATTATGTTCTGTTCTGTAAAATTCATAGTGTGCATTTTGTTTTTCTGCAGGGTGAAAGAGGACACAAAGGCTTCAAGGTGAGAGCTAATTTCTACTGTAATTTTGGTTATAAATCTTAGATTTGTTTATTGTCTGTTTTTTTGGATGACATCCTCTGATGTCTGTTTTGTTCATCTGTTTCTCCTCAGGGGGACAAAGGTCAAAGAGGGATGGATGGAACCGATGGACGCAAGGTGAGACAGACACAAACCGTGCAGATTCTGCTTTTTGTGTCTCCGATGGATGTGCTTCAGCTCGTGTTTCTGATCCGTCTTCTCTGTAGGGTGAATCTGGTTTCCCCGGACTTTCAGGCTGCAAAGGTTCTCCTGGATCTGATGTGAGTTTTACTTCAGACCCGAGCTCCACTCATTAATGTCACATTCCACACAGTTTGAAAAAATTCACAGTTATTAGCATGTCACCCATATCAGCTGGCAAATGAAGAGACTTCCTGTCCTGCCTCTGCTCCAGAGAAGATTAACTTGTATTTAACGCTTTAGCTCAGGGAGTTTTGATTTAAATAATTTATGAACATAAATTTTACTGTGCCTTTTTAACTAAATGCTTTTTAATGGGATTATTTTGGAGCTATCACAATAAGAGTGAAGGCAGTAATTTAGTTCAACTAAAAGAAGCTGATTGATGAATAAATGTTTGTATAGAAATTATCAGTCAAACCAATAGTTCAGCYTTTTTGAAGTGGGTTTTTGTTGAAAGGTATAAAAAATATTATAGCTTTACTTGTCATAGATAGCTCTTTGAARGACCTCAGTTGAAAAATATAGYCTGTAATCTGAGGGGATTAAAGCTAACACATTACAGTTAAGCCAAGCGCAGCATGGATTGCTGCTGTTTTTAAACAACTTCATTCTCACAAGGATTCATTGCGGTTTGTTCTCGCACTATTTAGTCAACTTTTACTCCAATGTCAATGTGCTGTAGCCTTCCACAAATATTTACATAGATTTTTAATGACTTTGAGGGGTTGATTTGTGCTTTTCTTACTTCCCAACTGGTTTATTCTACCTTTTGGTGTGGGCCAAGCTGACCTCACCACTGCAGCCGGACAGAACAGAACACTGCAGCTCGTCTCTTCAAACGAACACAACAGTGTGAACATACAGTATCTCCCCAGTGCTGGCTTCCCTCCACTGGCTCCCTGRCTGTTTTTGCATCATTTTTCAAGTTTTCTTGCTGCCCTATAAAACGTTAAATGAGCAGACTCCAGTGTATCTGTCTGATCTCCTGCAGCTTTATGTGCTTTTGACTCTAATGAAAACGTCTCGAGGTCCAGGCTGGTCCACAGAGGTGATCGTGTTTTATCTGTAGCTCCTAAACTGTGGAACAATTAGACAGACTTCAACTCTCAACGTGTTTAAATCTCATCTTTAACAACGTTTGTGACTTTTGATGAACTGGCTTTTATAAAGCACGAGAGCTTTTTCCAATTGGAAAATTATTTTTATTCAAATTCTTTGGTTATTTGCAGGAGCAAAGGTTCGAGGCACTTCCTTTAGGAATGTTGTACCACTTTTGACAAAATAACCATGTTATGCACATTTGACAGTGGTGTAAAGGAGTTTAAATTAGAACGCACATGAAGTATTGACTCTTTCTATTGACTATTTTAGACTGAAGCTGTCGCTTTTCCAAGGTTCCAGCTGCGTCCGGTTTTGACACGTCGGGTACACCCCTTGCGTCAGTTATTGACGAGATGGGGCAGAATCCATTGTCATAATTTCAGAAAGTGTAGAAAATGCAACAAAAAAAACTAACCGTTCCAAAGCCTGACATTACCTTTATTCACTCTAGACATCCTGTCCCTGACCCTAGTACCTAAAATTAACCATCAACCCRGATCCCTAAAATTAACCATTTTTAGAAAGTGTAGGAAATTCACATTAACTATGTGTCCCAAACCCTAAAATGACCTAATGTGCACCCTAGACATCCTATCCCTGACCCCACTACCTAAAATTACCCATGAACACTGATCCCTAATATTAACCACGGACCCCAACRCAAAGACCCCTATGTTTTGCGTCCTGACTCATCAAAACCGGACGCCCAGGGAACCCGGAAATGCCTGGTGCGTCAATAACTGACGCGAAGGGGTTACGTGATGCGTTAAAATAAAACGCAGAGGGAACCTTGGAAAATCGTCAATATGTGACGAGTTGGGAGTGAGAKTGTGTTAGCTTATCAGTTACAACTTTTATTTCTCCAAACAAAGTTCATTCAAAGAGCTATCTGCAACAGGTATTAAATAACAACTCTTCATAACCTTTTCTAAGAACTCCATTTCAGAAGATCTGAACATTTTTTTAGAATAATTTGGAAAATAAGATTTTTTCTTCCCTCTTGCTTTCTGTCATTTCATGTATTTATAAATTGTGTTTAGTTTTTTATTGTATATAGATTTTTTATGAGTGAATAAATCAAATTAATTAAAATAAATTGTTAAGTCTTAACCAGGGGTGCCCAAATATTTTCCCCGAGAGGGCCAAAATGAAAATCTATCCATGGCTGTGTGCCAATTGCAGTAATTTAATACATGAAATATAAATACTTTTTTAAGTAAAGTCCTTTATTTTTAATGATTAAGCTGTGCAATGGCCCTCTTTTGTTTTAGTCTGTGCACTTGGTTAAAGTCTGCCATACGCTCAAGTAGCAAAGGCTCATGGGACATTTTATAAATTGATAAAAATATGAGTTTTTGTGGCCTTATAAAGTGTGCAAATCTACATGTGGGGTTAAATCTGATCTAAATATTTCTTGTTGTCATTTCATGTTTCATGTTTAATCCTAATAAAGCAAAGATAAATTTCGCGCCATGACTGAAAACTACCTTCACCACAGCCCTTTATATAATCATTTGACCAATGGAAACACTGTGTTTCTACATAGGATAACAGGTTACAACCTTGTAACTTTGGCAACTGTTGGTGGGCCAAACCAAATGGCTTGGCGGGCCAAATTTGGCCCGTGGGCCCCTCTTTGGGCTCCTCTGGTCTTAACCTTTTGTGACATGAACAGGTTGGAAGGAGAGCAAAACACAGACAATTAAATATGTTTGTGACATCCAGTCAAGCCACTTCCATATCCTCCTGAGGCTCCTGCTTTTTTGTTTACAAATGAGCCGTTAGCCACAGTTGCTGGTTTAGGAATGCAGCAGGTCGGCATCACACCCCGTGTCTGAATCCCAGGGAACAGGCACACGTGGGGCCTTCGGCTCTTTAATCACAGCTTTGTTTAAATTCCCTGCTGTCGGACTGTTTAAATAAAGCCATATTCATACTGCAAGCAAAATCACACATGAACTTATATGAGCATGTAAGAACAGCAGATTGTTTTGGCTTCAGCTGCTTGTGATCATTATGCACTGAAAATGTCTCTGCAGGGTCTGCAGGGAGAGGGRGGACCCAAGGGGGACCCCGGCCCTTATGGAAAGAAAGGAGAAAAGGTAAGATAGAAAGTCTTGTGACTTAWAAAGGTCTTACATTTCTTGTTGGGGGATGTTTTAAAGCTCTATGCTCTTTGTTTTTAGGGAGACCTTGGGAAAAATGGTGAACCGGGACGTCCTGGAAACTATGGGCCCCTGGGCCCTCGGGTACGCAAAYAGAAATTAGACAAAAGACAGAGCAGGTGCTGTTATGTGTATTTACCGGTCTGTGTTGTGACAGGGTGATCCGGGCCCTCGTGGACCTAATGGAGACAAAGGCGAGCGCGGTGATGATGTATGTGAAAACTCTTCTGGACAACAGAAAAATTAAAAATCCCACGACTTGTAAAAACACTTTTTCAAATCCTGTATARGTGTGTGTTTCAGGGACCATCTGGAGCAGACGGGACTCCTGGCGAGAGAGTGAATAGAACAATACTGACTTTTAAATTTGTGTGTTTGTGAGATAGAACTGCCAAAGTATGTGCTAACATCTCTGACATCCTTTACAGGGAAAAGTTGGGGAGAAGGGCGAGCAAGGGTCCCGTGGAAATAGAGGCCCAAGAGGAGAACCTGTAAGTGAGAATAAAGACGACGATTCCAGCTTCTCTTCCTAAGAAATTCATGGGAAAAGCAGTTTGGCTCATCCCACCGCCACACTGACCTTAATGGAACTCATAGTATTTGTGCTCCTCYTGTGCTGATCTAACTCTGGTTAAATCTTGGCTCGACATGTTTTACTTGCTACCCTTGACTCATTTGTTCTCTTTTTCTTGTCAGGGGGACCCTGGAAGCCGTGGAGAGCAGGGGAGGGAGGGGTCAACTGGTGCCAATGGAGACCCTGTAAGAAAAAACAGCCCCACACACTCACAAACAGACACACAAACAGGAGCTGCACGCACTGTTTATGACACCGTCTCTGTAAACCACCCGTCATTTCCTTCTGTCTATTTTCTTCCACTTGGTGATGGGAGTTTCTTTGCTCGAGCGTTTGTGCATCCATATTTCATGTTGAAGGGAAGCACATCGAGCCGACGCTTTAGCAGAGGCAGATTTGGCTGTTGCCCCAGAGTGCTGCCCACCCCTCCTTCCTAAATCTCCCCGCTCTCATTCTCAGCGTTCACTCCTCCTCAGAGCACTCACTCTTTCCCCTCTGACTCAGTTCTTCTCTCCACCTGCTCGAGCCAAAGCCTCAGTTTGGGTTTCTTAATGAGGCACCAGGCAGTGTTGTAATAATAATACATTACAGGCGTTAGCGACGGTAACCTCCGTGATGTCAGAACTTTTCAATGGTTCTTTTGTGCTTTGGACCAAGCTTTTTTCATCAGTAAGGACCGGGCAGCAGAGTAACTTTAAAAATATGGAATCTCTGACTGACTGGACTGATGTCTTAATCTGTTAAAAATAGCAAATACATTGACTATGCTCATCTTATTAACTTTATTATAAGAAAAAAACCTAATTGGAGCCACTCTTATTAAATGTAATAAATATTTTCAAAGATGCGCGCATATTACTGTATTTGCAGTTGTATTTTTCACTCAAGCTATGATGCTATTAGAAAAAAAAAATTTTTAAAAGTTGAATGTTTGTTTTTGGCGTGTTATGATGTACTTTTTCATTTTTATTTGTTCAGTGTTTTAGCTGTGCTTCATTAACTGTTTTTTCCAGGGTGAGCCCGGCAAGCCTGGCCCCCCTGGCTACAGAGGAGACGAAGGTTCGCTGGGAGCTGAGGTGAGTCCAGAAAGAGCAATTTATAATAAAACGTTCAAAATCTCCAAGGACCAAAAACATGTTTTCTAATTATTCAGTTAAAACAATGATCTCATTTAAATGGACGGTTCGGGGGGGMTTAAAGCGGGGTTCTTTAAGGGTATGAAGAATTAATTTCCTACCTGTTGCAGCTTTTTGTACAACTCTAGTTTAAAAATTACAGTTCTGACCAGACTCATGAGCAGATCAATCTGGTCAGAATTAAACTGTTTTCCTCTAAACTGAAGTCATAATAATAATAATAATAATAATAATAATTATTATTATTATT